TATTTGTAAATCAGGGAAGTTCTTGGCTGATAACATAGTTGGCTCAGTCGTGGTGTTTTCCCTTATTTTCTGGATTCCTCTCAGCATCTTGGTTTACTGTGTGGTAAGAAGCTTTAAAGTTACCTTTGTCCACATCTTCAAAAATGTTACTCCTGTCTTACTCTCTGGTAGTTACCTTTCTCACCTGTTGACTGTCTTGTTTCTTTCTAAAGGACAAACGACTTGATCAGCAGTACGCAGAGAACGCCAAATCCTTTTACTTCGCTCCCAGCGTAAGCTCCCTGTCTTTTTTTAACAATTGTTTGACTTCCTGTGCACCTGCCTTGTTGCTACACTAACTGAAACTAATCAAACGTTTGCCTTTGAAGGACTAAGCTTTCGGGCAATCGGTTAAAAAAAAAAGTGGGAGGGAAAAAGTTTGATGTTAGTGGTAGTTTGCAAGATCTACCTGGATTTATACCCAATTTGTATTTTAATATAACTGATCAACAGTTTTTACAACAGTTAGAATTTGGACTTAGTTTTTCATTTAGGATGTAAAGAAATATAAATGTTGGGCACCCTTCATGCTAGATTAAAACCAAACTACAGTCTTTGCAGGTTCTCAGCGTTATTTTGTGTGCTGCAGCAGATTCCGTCGCACAAGACTGGTTTGACTGCAATATACATCCAATGCTGGGAAGGGCACTGGGGAGCATGTCTGCTCTGTGAGAAATACATACAGCTGCACAGCTTAATGTTCAGAGAACATCAGGCTGTTCATGCTGCATGCTCCTCATGCCTATCCTACAACCTTAGTACAACCACAATCTCCTGGCAGAACTCTCAAACTCTTCGCTCTAAAAGATCTCACCAAGCAGGAGAAACAAAAATATAAAAAGTACCCTCTCTACATCATTGGATAATACACCATACCGAGACTCCTTACAGACAGATCTGTTTGTGTTTTTCCCTGAAAAGTACGCACATCTCCAAATTGCACCTATATTTGGTTGTGCTGGAAATCTGGAAGACTACCTAACTTCCAGGCTATTAAAAGAAAGTCCTGGTGTTACATGTGCAGTGATCAGGAGTATAAAGTCTTAAGTTAAAATATAATCTCACCACTATTTACTATTGGAACTAAATTGATAAATCCAATAAAAGTGTTGCTGATATTCTAGCTTATTTAGAGGAACAAGTGTCAAAACTAATAATTATTTTTCAAATCGATTTCATCTGTCCATTATTTTTTCGATTAATTAATAAATAATAATTAAACCACGTGAAACTAAAAATGTTATGCTCTGGATTGAACATACTGACAGATTTTATTTATTATTATATATATTAATTTTTGTATAATTATTGTTGACCTGTCAGCTAAAGGTATGTTTTAGAGTCTCAATATGGCAGTTAACGATGAATCAATTACTACATTAGTTGGTGATTTTTTTCAATAATCGATTAATCCGATAAATTTTTTCAGCCCTAGTCTGCGGGCAGGCATGATACCTGCAGCGGTTTAGATTTTGTAAGGTAATGTTCTAGTGCATACAGTACGCTGAAGGTTGGACCCAATCAGGGCTGGGATGTGGTAGCCTCATAAAGGGAACCTGCTGCTTATATCTTATGGACTGCTGGAGGTATCAAGAAGCTCTGGATCCTTATGATAATAAGTACTAGTCTAAGAAGATGTAGTTATTTTTGCAGCAGATTCTGGAGATTGTAGGAAGGTCTTAATCTGGTCAAAAGGGGGCCTTAACATCTTATTAGGTTGGAGGAATGGTAGCTCATTGCTTTAACCTATAATGATCAAACTTATTGTAACTAGCTTACAATCTTTTAGGGTTTAGATGATTTCTATAAAATAAAACTTGCATCAGGATTCAGATAAATCTGGAACAAATTCAGACAGCTGATAGTTTCTTATAAGGAGAATAGCTGAGGTGGTTTGATCCATCTGGTAGATCATGCATCACTGCTAGGCTTCCTGAATGACCTGTTGATCGCTCTCTGCCCCGGCACCGCAGCAGATGGTGGAGGTTTGTAATAGAGCTCCTGCTGTAGGTGAGTGAGTCTGTGCCATTGCCTGGTGTTGCCATGTGTTGCCATTGAGTGCATGGTCAGTGGCCTCCGCTGGGGATACTCCTGGAGTCACTTTCTCTTTGAAGTAATCACTGATCTGACCGCACACTTCCCATCTTTGTCCTGCATGTACACAAAGTGGAGACGGTGTTCTTCGTCACGGACTCTGTCTGATCTGATCAGGAATTACTTCAGGGAGGCAAGACTGAATTTTAGGAGTATTCAAAGAGCAAGAGGATTGAAACATGTTGTCCTTTGTGGTATAAGATGGAGTGTGTCGTCATTTGAAGTTTGCAACTGCTGCTGTTAAAGCTAACTGTGGTATCGTACACTGTAGGTCAAATTTGGGCTTGATTGGATCAATGTCAAGACTGAGGCAACATTCCTCTGTAGACCTTTCTTTTTTGTTGACATTTTGACCTGAGCGTATGTAGATTTATTTTATTTGTTCCAGACGTCATTCAATCAGCTGTCTGGCATGACTTTTGGCTTCAGGTTTTCCCTTTAGAACCAAATATGACACATTTTGACACAGTATTGCCCCCTTACAGATTTCTTCTGCCTTTACGTCTTTTGTCACATTTTAAGTATCAATCATAGTTCTTTTTTTTATTATTCATTTATTGAGGAGAAAAGCTGTCAATCCTTTATGATAAAGGAGAATTAGTATTTTACATGACTTACCTCCATTATGTGGAGGCTTCCCTCCCCACTGCTTTGTGTGATTATTGTAATTAATCAACATTAGAGGGTTTCTACTGTTAATAGCTTATATTTAAATTTTGGCTTTGGATCGTCATCATGCTACATTAGCGAGTTTGAACCCGTCTTCAAAAGCTGATAAGTATTCTTCAGAATTTTATTGTAGTTTTGGATTCCGAACTGTAAAGTGTGACAAAAAGGCTAAAAAGAGAACAAACATGCATGGGGTAAATACTTTTTCAGACCACTGTGTCTTTATCGACTCCAAATGTCCACTGAAAGAAAGGTTTCTTTACTCATTCCAACCTAGATGTGAGTTTAAAGGGGAGCAGGTTTTACTTCCAGTAATAAACTCCTACTTTTCGGTAAAGATTGAAGTCCAGGAGAGTAATCGGATAGTTTTTCATAACCAGAATGAAGTAAACAAGGAATGGATCCCACCTCAGTCTAAAGCAGGAGCTTCTTATTGTTTTTTCCTCACCTGCTGTTTTTGCTCCACAGACTCAAGACATCCTGAGCAACCCCGAGTCGGCGCCCGTGCGCATCGTCAAGCATTCTCAGCCTCCCTTCGCCGCCCGGGCCGCGCCCTCTTCCCAACCTCTTCTGCTGCAGAGCCAGGCCCGGTCCCTGACCCCAGCCGCGGCCTGCAGCAGCACCACTACCCAGGACCCCGGCCCGAGCTACGCCGCCAACCAGGACAGCGCAGGGGACCTGCGGATGGCCACCATCCCGGAGGACACCAGCAGCGACTCTCACCTGGTAGAAGAGGGGCTGTCGGGCGATTTCACAACCGCAGGAGCCTCCTCGTCGGCTACGAAATCCTCCTTCGAGGATCTGACAGGTCAGAACCCATCCAGGGAGCGACGGCGCCTCAAGAGGCAGGAGTGCCTCGACTCTAAAGAGACAGAGTGCTGAGGAAACGGAGGGCGCCGCTCTCCCTCTTAGAAAAGCATTCGCCTTCGTTTAGAGAACAAACAGAACAATGTAAGCTTGATGTGTTAAAATGAGCCACTTCTTTACAGCTTTGAGTTCTTATTTTGTGCCTTTTAAAGATCTGTTGAAGTTTGAGGAATTAGGAAATGCATTATACGTTCTTACACCTTTTCACATTTTTCCCAGTGTCACCGCTAACTTTAATGTGTTTTGCTGTGATTTTATATGATAAACCAACAGCAAATTGTGCTCCATTGCAACATTTATAATAATTTTAGCTAATGAATAAGAGAAAAAGGCATTTTATGTTCAGCCATAATGTAGCATCTCTAAATGAAATCTCGTGCACAGAGCAGTTATCTGATAGTCTTCTATTATTGTCCTGTACTTCACAAATTGGACAACCTCCCAGTGTGACAGTAAGTAAAAAAAAAAGTAAGTTAAAAGAAAGATATATGAAGTCACAAACCGTGTTAGTGGACAAAGCGTACCTGTATTAGGAGGTACTGCAGTCAAATAAGGCATGTGTGAATGACGTGTGAAAACTTAAAGCCTCTCAGTCAAATCAGACTAATTGTTTGCTGCTTTACTAAAAATAAAAGGCAGAAAGTGATCTAGGTAACTGGTAGATATTCAAGAGTTAAAAGGTGCTACTTTAGATGGATTTCTATGCAAATGCATGCCACACTTTTTAGATTTATTTTTTGCGAATCGGTTTAAAAAGACTTCAAATTTTTCTTTCACTTTCAACTAAACCACTTTATGTTGGTCTGTCTTATAAAATCCAGATGAAACAGTGAAGTTTATAGATGTTATTCTGAAAAGTGAAACATTTTTAACAGTTTAGATTTAAAGTTGATGAATAATCAGGTTAATTTTAAGGACTGATTTTCCCACTGTGTCGTTTTTCATTAAATAGCCGTTGTGCACCTTCAGAAAATAAACTCCCAATCTTATCTTCATACACTGTATTGCAAAAAGCATCTTTTCTGGGTGCTTTTAAGTGTACATGTACTTCGATATCCTTTGCTTAATCTGTAGGTTCAGTTTGTTGATGGACCTTTTTTGATAAAAGCGACTTTAACTACTCTGGAAAAACATCTTTCACAGAGTTTAGGTTTGTGATCGTTTAGATTAGAAAGCAGAACTGCAGCTTCTGCTGTTAGTCATCCTAAAGCTCTTCTATAAGATAAAGGTCATGATGCTGCCTAACTTTATACAAAAACAGCAACGTTAGCAAATTATTCCATCATTCACATTCATTTTGATGCGGTGATCCGATACTTCCAGCAATATAGTGCATCTATAAATATCCGTTTATTAAACCAAATCCACTCCCAGTATATTCAGTTTATTATGTTACATAATCATCACAACTATTGAGGAAATCAATAGTGGGTTATGACTTGTAGGACACTTAAGTTTAGGTTTGTTTTTAACAAAAGCACTTTTCAACACTGGAGAATCTCTGTTTTGCACACATTTTTCAGAGGTTGCATATTGGACCCTTGTGTTTGTATCGTAGCTCCTATGTACAAGAAGCAACAGTTTTAGTATATCACCGAGTTTGTTCAATGTTGGTAAATAAAAAAAAAAGAATTTTCCGCTGATTCCTGCACTACCAGTATGTTTAGATTTATGTGCTTATAGACCTCCTGTTTATCGGATCAAATTGTCCGTTCTGCAGCACTGCTTGTGCTCAGATCGTTTGTTGCTTTGATAAAAGTCGTGCCAATGTGAGCTGTGCACATGTTGCAGTTTGATGCAGTCTCACCTGTTACCTGCTGTGTCATATCTTAATGCTGTAAAACATTTTATTGTATGAAAATACATCTTTTGCATTACATACTGTGTGTAGTCCTTTCTTTCTACATGTATGAATGTTTTCTTCCAGCAGCAGTAACATCTTTGTAAAAAAAAACAAATCATCTTTATTGCACATTTTAAGCATCAGTATTTGATTTGATTTCATGATCATTTTTTTGAAAAAAAAAAAAAAGGATTCCTTTGCAAAATGTTCCACCCAGTTTGGTTTTAGCTGCTGGAACATTCTCTTATGTATCACAGAGGAGGCTGCTCTCTGGGCTCTTGGCGTCCACGTCTCCCCAGTAAGGCAGGATGAAGGGCAGGTGAGCCACGCGACTCTCCAATATGCTCCAAAGGTGCTGGGCCACAAACTGGTTCCCCTTCTCTGAGAGATGCAGCCCATCTGAGAGGTAGACTGTGTAGTCCTGGAGAAGAGCAGCAATGTTTAAATAATGCAGCATGTGGGAAAAAGGTTTGTTTTTTCAGCATTTCAAGACAAATCAGTTGCTATAACATTAGGCCAGTTGAGCAGAAATATGACTCTTTAGTGGGCTCAAAGCAGAAACCTGACATTGCTGTTAAAATGTGCAGGTTAAATGTGGAAGCTCAAGAAAGATGACCTTGGAAGAATTTGTTTCTTTTGACCTTTTGCACCTTTACAAACATCAGTTTGTTGTTTTAATAGCAAATGTTCATTTTTAATATTTTAAGTGAACGAAGGAGCCAATTGCAGCTCTGGAATTCTGAGATCTAGGTGAGAAAAACTGATTCTATCTCATTTACGACCTAGGCTAATAATACAACAACTTCATTTTTAAACAATAAAATACATTTTTGTTTTTAGGAGTTGACAAGATGGCTAAATTATTGTAGAGAAACATGTAGTTTTCAATATTTTTCTTATTATACATTGGAATTGTGAGATCTGTATGTATTTAGAAACCTTTCAAATAATATCTAAAGAAAGTGAAGGGCAAAGTAAAATGTTTTGAACCTCATGAAAATGCTGCACACAGCGAAATACGGTGGTGGCATCATCATGAAGGTAGTCAGGTGATGAGAAATCTAGAGGAAGCTAAACACTAGAGCTGCAGATATCTGAACGTTTATCTTATTTAATCACAAAGATATTCAAACAAATGTTTTGATAAAAAAAGAAAAAAATTGACTTTGTTTTCAATATATTGACTGGAAGCAAAATCAAAAGATCAAAATCTGATTTAATTGTCTCAGCCCTGCAGAATATGGGACAATCCTAGAAGTAAACGGCTACAGGACGCAGACCGAGGTGATGGTTAATGTTATAGCAGGACAAAGATCAGTGACGGTTCTAGACCAAACTTACCAGGGTGGGGCCAGTGTTTTTTTTTTTGTTTTTGTTTTTTTTTTATGAGGGCAGAAAACAAAAGAAGGAAACCAAACACAAGGCAAAAGTTCATTATTTTATACAGTATTTTAAATGAACCAAGGAGCCAATTGCAGCTCTGGAATTCTCAGACAGGTGAGAAAAACTGTGATTCTATCTCAACAGGACCTATGCTAAAAATACATCAACTTTATATTTAAACAATATATAAAAAACATTTGTCAATATAAAAACAATTTGTTAGAATGAATTGTAATAGATGTTAATAAAAGAGAATAACAGTAGTGGCTGCAATATCACAAATCATGGGGAAAAATCCAAAGGGTGTGAATATTTTTAAGGGTTCTGTATGTTCTGTCTAATTCAGAACTACACTCACTTGTCCGTCTTTCTGCATGAGTGTCCAGAGGTCCAGAACTTCTGATCCGCACTGACCGGCTGCCTGAACACAGGCCTGAGCGTACTGTCCCGTCACAGAGTTGTGCCGATTGAGGGGACATCCTGAAAGACACAGAAGAGGAATCAGCCACGATCAATACAAAGAAGAAAGAAGGCGAACCAGTGGCCTGCAGTCTACCTTTGAGGATGCACTCCTTCTCCCAGGCCGGCTCATGAATAGGAGGAGGAGTCATGAAGATGACCTTGTCTGCTGAAACACCAGCTGAAGACAGAAACTTGCTGATCTCCTTCAGGTTCTCTGAATACTCATTTAGAGGGACGTGCTGCTGTGGGTTCTTATCTACAGGAGCCAAAAAATAACAAATTTTAAAAGCACAGTGCTTCTAGATGTGCAAAAGACGGATTAAATTCACAAAACCTTGACGCAATACTGCAAAGTGACATTCCTAGACTATTTTTCTTATAATGCCCCTGATTATTCCCCTTATTCACTTCCTTCTACAGTAATACTGACAGGATCTACTGAAAGTGAAGTATTTTACTTTGACACTGAAATAAGTCTTGCAGACTTGTTTTTCAGTGACGCTTCACCTTCCAGTGAAGCATCGTTGGCTCCAAAGAAGACGGTTACGGCTGCAATGTGGTTTTCTGCTGGATTCTGGCTGCTGATCAGGCGAGGAAGGATAATCTTGGCCCATCTGGAGTTGTAGCCAGACAGCCCTCTGTTCACAACATCACCTTTTCTAAAAACAAGAGCTGAATATTAAATTCACAAATCCATAAAAAAAAAAAAAAATCAAGAATGCATCTCCAGCATCATGTTGTGTCCAATCATTTTGCTTGTTCATGTTGTTTTAGGCTATTTTGTACTAAGTGGTGGAGACCAAACTGCACATCAAAATCTAAACATTAACATTTCTAGCTGTTTAAACCCATGCAAATAAAAAAAGAAGAAAAATCAGATAAAACCAGAAGTAGAAATGAAACAGGTTGAACTTCCTGCTTTATTGTGCGCATGACACGTTCAGTGGATTGTTTTTAATCAAAGTAAACCACTGACTATCAGCTAATAAACTCACCTTGCGAGCTTATTTGCAGTTTCTGCTCCCCATCCATTAGTCTGAAAGGAAAACTAAAAGATGGAAGAATATTATTATTATTAAGATGAAGCTGAAACAAATACAAGCTTTATTGAATAAAACAAACCTGTGTGATTGAGTCACCGAATAAAACAACTTTAGGCCAAATTACTGAGCTGAACTTGGACATGATTGATCCCTCTTCTTCTTGGTGTTGTTGTTGAATTTTTTTTTATGGCGGTTGGCAGGTACATTAGGTGAGCATTACCGCCACCAACTGGCGAGGAGTGTGGACCACAGGGCAATCGACTGATCCTTCTTCTTCCTTCTTTTAAAAGTGGTTCGGGAATAGAGCATAGATTGATCACAGCCACCTTGTGGATTAATGTGTGGATGAATAAAATCAAATTCTTAAATAATTTGATAAAACATAAAAAAAGGTTTCTAGCCTACATCTAGCCTACATAAAACCAAAACGGTTTTAATCGATAAAGATAATACTGATAAAATTAATAGTTTTTTATTTGTTTCCTTTACCTTTTAAGCTTATATTTAAGTTTTGAGTTGAATTTTTCGACTGTGGTACAAATAAATACTCTATTCTATTCTAATTATTATCTTTACGTCACTGATATCCTCTAGGTTTCTAAATTATCTTGTCCACTGATCATATATATAATAAAAACATCAATATAAAGAGAGATAATGTTACAGTATCACTGAGTTTGGTGTTATTCATTTGTGTTGCCTCTCCCTTGCTTATTTTACTTTCACTCTTTGGAGAATAAAGAGATGAAGATGTTTTTGTTTTGTTTTTTCCTTGATGAGCTTTTATTTTGAAGAGCTCGTATGTTGTCCTACACTCAAAGTCTTCCGGGTGAACCAGCTACCTCGGTGAGGATCCTCCAGGATTTATCTCTTAAAAAAGGTTAGCTCAAACCACACTAATTAAAAATATTATTACATTATGATTATTATTTGAAGCGAGTTTCATCTTTAACTAGAACGGCTTTAATTTTAAGCTAACGTTCGCTGAACGTAACATTTACACTTGTGCTCAGTTATAAACTGCACGTGAAAAACAGAACATCAAAAGCGGACTAAAGATCTTATAATCTATAAAATAATCTTCAGCTTGCCTTGTCAAATGATATATGTATGCATTAACGTAGTTAATGATTTAGGGTGACATGTTGAAACCGAATATGAGCCGAAAATTAACTTCTAATAACAGCAAATAAACGGATCTGTTTCAGGTTAGCTCAGAAATTCACTTTTAAAAACAAAAATCTTACTGTTTGAAATCTGATTAACAGTGAAAAGTCGTCAAGCCATTTATGAAACAGTTGAAAATAGAGTTGCAAATTTCTAAACTTAAATACGAAATGGATTAAAAAAAGATGAATGTATCTGGTCTGTTTTTCCTTCTAATGAAAGGAAGTGAAGGTTTTTATTTATTTATTTTTTATTAGAACTTTATTTAAAAAATTGTACAAACATACAGACATATAGTTACATAGAACATTAGACAGGTGCTCTAATAACAAAAAAGAAAAATAAAGAAAATAATGAATGTACATAATAGTTGTTTACAAAGATAAAATGATTGTATGTATAATAATCTGAATTCTCTTTAGTTTTATTACTTATTGATCAGGTGTTTTTAATGTCATCTTCATTTGCTTCAGCGGGATGCTGCGACGTCCAAAACCCACCGACTCTGAGGCAGACCTCCTGAGGGAACAGGAGCGTTTCCTGACCTCCGGAGCTCCCTCGGCTGCCTGTATGGTCCGCCGTCCTGACAAGAGGAGAGGAGAGGCGGGAGATGCTGAGGGAGATGCTGAGGGAGTGCACGGCAGTGAAAATGAAGGACATCAGAAGGATATGGTCACCATTGAAGGTTAAAAACAAGCAACTACTGTCAGAACACCAAACTGCTGCTCTGCTGTGGAATAATTTAGTCCCAAATGTGTTTGTTATAGATCTTCCAGACCAGCTGCCCTCTCTAACACCAGCCCCTCCTAAGAAGTCTCGATTTAAAGCCAGTCGTGTCACTTTTGAGGATGAGGATGCTGGGGAGAGGCTGGACAGACATGATACCCACATCAGTGCTGTTCTCTCCAAGATTGTTGTAAAGTGTTTGTAAAAATATCAACCAGCAGGGATATGGGGGCACCTGTTAGCTAATTGTATTGGTGAAATCAATGCACATGTGAACAGTATATGTCATAGAATTAACTATTTAGGTTTATCTAGATGTAAATCTAATCTAAATATGTATCACCATTTTCTTGTCTTTTTTTTTTAATTTGGACCTTAAGAAGTTTCTGTTTACTTGAAGGAGAGAGACACCAGCTGTGCTCCTATATCCTTACCGGCGTCAACAGGCCTGGCTTTTCCCAAAGTACTCCACCGCTCAGAAACCAGCAGCCAGGTATAGTTTGCTCATAATTTCATGTGTATACATTTACTTCAGGTTCTTGTCATTTTTATAGTTTTTAAATTAATTCATAAAAATTACCTGCATGGTGATAAAAGGCAATGGTTATATCCCCCTACCAAAAATATAGTTTTAATAGATATTCCAACTTGATGATTTGAATAAATAGCTAACAGGAAGTTCAGTAAATAATAGACTCTCCAACCCTTTCACAGATGAAAAAAATGCAGATTGTGCCCTGCATTTCTTTTGTCATCCCCCACTGAATCTACACTAGGGTTGTCAAAAGTATCGATACTCAAAAAAGTATCGATGCTAAAACGTATCTGGATACGATACTTATTTTCAGAAGTATCGATAAAGTGCTTCCACCACTGGCACCTACACAGTCATTCATCTAGAGTGTAGAATAGGAGAAAATGCACTTTCTGAACACAGTGGGCCGGATCTATCAAAGGTTTGCGTGTATAAAAACGTGAGCTATTTCACTGCGCACGCTAAAAAATGTACAAACTGATCTATCAACAGCGTGCTAAAAGGATTTGGTCTTTAAAACGTGCTAAATAGCGCCTCTTATGCATTTAGTACTTTTTCTGCAATGAATATGCAATATGGGGCGTTTACACGCAAAAGTGCGTCTTGTGGGAGGAGAACATGTAAATATATTAATTTAGCACTCGCAAAGTGATTTCTTAAACCTAAAAACAATTTTGCTAACGGTATCTGACTCTATATTTAACACGTTTCAAAAGAAGGTGCAAATGGTCTGTATGCGTAATTGCGCACACATGGCAGCGGTTATTGTCGCAAGAAGGAGACATCGAAATGAAGCAAGGAGACGCAGAGAACGCATTTTTTCACTCCGTGTGAATATTTTTGGAATGAACGAGGAAATGATCATCAAAACATATCGTTTATCCTGCATTGCCATTTTGGAGCTGTTGGGGGATTTGGAGCCAGCCACAAGGAGGACCCACGCAATACCAGATATCACAAAACTCCTTGCAACGTTTGGAGGTTCTCCCCCTGCGCCTGTGGAGCAACATGCCAATGCTGCGGGGATGCGTACGCGCAGTAATCTCATCCACAGTCACTTCTTGTGAGCCATTTGGTATGTGCATTTTTCTACAGGCCAATACAAAAAAAACTTTTTTTTTTTGTTGTCTTTTTTTTACTGCAGTGAAGTAGAAATTCAGCCACATACCACCTTAGGGAATAAAGGTTGCCAAAGTTTTTTCTTTATATATCACTGTAAGATTTTAATTTCTTAATGCACTAGTTTGTAGAAACTACAAACTACTTTGCCGCCAATCACAAAACGCGCAAAACCATCATTTAAATAGGGCGTCTCCAACAGTTTTGCACCTGCCACCAGTTACGCAATCGCTCTTGTTAAATCACCCGCAAACCATGGTCCAGCCCCTCGCGCAAAATTCCAGTTTGCGAGCGCAAATTACTGCACGCAAAATTGGATCTTGATAAATCCGGCCCAGTGTGATTGAATAATTCTGTTTCAGTTTCAGACTTTTTCTGTAACAGGTGCAGCTGCTGAGAATTAGTTTTGTTTGTTAACTGGTTTGGCTAGTGTCATTGTTATGTGTGCAAAGCATAGCCAAGGAAGGAACACTTAAGTTATTTTGTTAGTTTTTTATCAAGCTTGCTTAATATTATTCACAGAATGCAACCTCAAAATATTGTTTTTATTGTAGTTATTTATTTTTTGTATTTCATTTATTAATGAAAATATTTTTGTTAAATTTTGGGGTCTTTGTTTTTAACCTCGTGGTATCGAAAATTGTATCGAGTATCGACTATTTCCCCCCGAGTATTGGTATCGAATTAAAAATTTTTGTATCGTGACAACCCTAATCTACACTCTGTCAAACTGCCATTCATTGCAATTACAGCTGCTGGTCCTTTTGGGTATAGATAGACCGATGCATCAACTGTTTTCTAAAATGTCGGCTGATGCATGAATGTGTCCCTGATTCATTCGTTCATTCAGGAGCCATTGCCTTAAGATCAATTGAAGTGCATCCATTGCCACTTCCTCCATTTGCATCATTGTTCATGTTTTTTTTATGTCTTTATTTTTTTCTTGTTTTGGTTGTTTGATTGTGACTTGTATAACATATTTTATCCATTAAAATATAGGAATAAAAAAACAATATCTGCTTCAAAAATTGCCCCTCAAAAATCAGCAGTACATACTGTGGATTGGTTCGACTGATGTTAAAATAATCGATATCAGCATCGTCCTTAAAAACCCTTTATCAGTGGATCTTTAGTTGTTGTTATGTCTCTAGCAGATTTGAACATCTGCGCATAGAAATAACTACCCATTATTTTTGCTGAAAATAGCTCATTTTTTTTGTATTGCTTCAGATTGTCACTTGGATTTTGGTCTGGACTCAAACTGGGCTTTTTTTTTATCACACATATATGCTAAGATCTAAACCTTTCATAGGTAGCACAAGTTGTATGTTAAGGCTTGTTTTCCTGACGGAAGACAAACCTCTGCTGCATCTAATAAGGTCTTCCAGGATTCTCATCAGCCCTGTCTTTCAAATCCCCGCTTTAAAATAGCCTGATTCAGCAAACACCATGCTTTAATGGTCACATGCTGTCTTTGTAGATGGGTAGTACTTTGCTTGTAGGCTAAAAGGTCTGTTTAGATCAATATAATCCAATAAATTTGGCGTGGATCTATGCAGCTTCTCCAGAGTTTCCGTTGTTCCATTATCAGGGTTAAAGGTGATAAATATAAATGTGTATCAAACCTTTGAGATTATTGTCCTTCAAAACTTCTGAAAAGCATTTACAATGCTTCTTCTAATTC